ACAATATCAGAAGAATTGAAAAATAAGATAAAACTATTCTCTGATATGGATTCTGATTTAACGAGGGTTGAAGAATTTTTAGAAACTATGCGGCAAGAATATCAAAGAAGACGAATACTTTCTCATTTATCGATTCAAAAGCTACTTTCATTGAAGATTGAAAAGAACGAACTTAAAAATAGTTTAGAACAAAAATTAATTGATATTTATGCATTGATTTTAATACAAAATCCTCAATATTCTTTCAATCGAACCATTATTGACAGTGTAGCGAGAGCCATCTTATCTCAGCTACTGAATAAAAACATTCTAGATGCATATAAAGTAGTAATTCAAAGAACGAAATGTCAAACGATCATTTCGATGATGTATTCAGGATTTTCATAGATATTTTAGATCAAAACGATAAGTTCCGTATATTTCATTGCGATATACTTGTATGTATTGCGCTAACATTAGAAGTTAAGGAAGTTTCTGAACTGAAAGCATTGGAAATCAATATTTTCAATGATGATGAAATCATTCGTTATTGGTCGTTTCGAGGTTTAAGAGCAGCTTATGATAGAGGTTTTAGATCTTCAGCATTTCTACAGTGGTGCGATCATATTATTGATAAACTTGAAGACAATACGGATGTTGAAGTTGACTTTGATTTAGATTTATTCGAGACCGTTGCGGCGTTAAAATACATTGATTTTGATAAAATTTATGGTAAACCACAAAATCTATGGAATAGAGAGCTTTTAATCTGTGATTTAATTGAACGATTTCACATAAGTGAAGCAGAACGTTTTCAATTCTATGAAGTTTGGCTTGATATCGAAGAACATAGCAAAGGTCAAAGTGATATATTATTAAAACTTTTACATCGTTTTCTAGTAAATAATAATAATGTGCTCTTTACGGAATGTTATGAAACAGTAAAGATTCTAGATCAAATTGATTTCGACACTGCTCATGACATTTTGTTGCATAGTAGCCAAGCATATTGTCGATTTGAGACAGGCATACCTGACAGTTATTATTCATCAATGTTTATTAAATAGAGCTGGAGTCAGTGGTGAGTATACTGAAACTCTAGCATCGAATATGATGTCAAACTTTGGCTTTGATCTAAGTCAAAAATTTCTGAGTGGTTTACAAAGTATCAGTAATTTATCAGAATTCGAAAATATTTTGAATTTTTCTAAAACATATCATATAAAATCATCGGATATTTATGTGAAGAATGCGACTGTTCCTATACTAAAACGATCATTAGAAATCAAATTGTTGGGTAATCAAATAGAAAAAGCTGATCGACTGAAATTAGGTGTTTGTCTGGATGATTTGTTAGATAAGAATTGGGCTTTCGAACAATTAAATCATTTTTTCAGTATTGTGAAAGAATCAAATAGTCGAGAAAAAGCACAATATTTTTTATCTGTTCTCGAGATTATTTCACATTATAAAATTCCTCCGAAAGAAGAAAACTATGAAAAAATATCAATAATTCTAAAGAATTCATCTGAAGATTGGCAAAAAGAGATCAATAAAATTGCAATTGAAACAAACTTCTCTGATAAAGGTCAAGTTAAAATGTCAAGAGAGTTAGTACAAGAGTTGCAAAGTAAAAATTCACAAAATGAAAATTTGAAAACTTTCGATGAAGAAAAACTATTAGATTTAATAGAAAAAATCAAAAGTTCAAACTTATTATCGTTATTATTCAAGAATATTATAGAAAAAGACTCAAATCCGAAGCATCGAATTCCTTCTATTTCTATCTCACAATGGACAAAAGATCATATTCATCTATGGGCAAATATAGTCAAAGCTTATGCTACACTTTGTATCGATTCCGAAGATTTCATTATAGAAGCTCTAGCAGTAATCAAACAAGCAAACTTCATGGATACTGGATTTCATCTTACGGATGCACAAATTCTAAGCTGTTTAATTGTTTTGAATGCTAACAAGAACCAAGGTAGATTACTACAAGTAGGAACTGGCGAAGGTAAATCAACTATCATCAGTGTTTTAGCAATAGTTTACGCCTTACTAGGAAGCACCGTGGATATCATAACGAGTTCACCTGTACTAGCAGAAAGAGATGCAAAAGAAAAAGAAAACTTCTACAATATGTTTGGTCTTCAATGTAGTCATAATAATGAGAAAGCAGTGTATCTATCGGGTCCTAAGGTGTGTTACAGAAAACAGATTGTTTATGGTGAAGCAGCACAACTTCAATTCGATACACTGAGAACAGAATATGCTGAATTGAATACATTAGCCGATAGAAAATGTGATGTTGCTATCGTCGATGAAGTCGATAGTATGCTTATTGATGATAGTTCGAAAATAGCACGATTAGCATCGTCTATGTCAGGTATGGATCAATTACAGATAATCTATTATCTATTATGGCATCAACTTGTTTCTTTGCAAGAGAAAATAATTCGTTTAGATAATAAAATGTATTTATTTTATGGAAAAATTAAGTTCGAAGAAAAAGCTTGTTAGCGCAGCTCCTGTGGAGCTGAAATGTGGAACTCACGTATACCTTTAGCTTTGTTACCTGACGCATCATCTGTATACTGAAAGACTTCTCGTCAACTATAGTTGTTTTCCTTGAGAATCGATGAAAAGAGCGGGAATTTATTATTTATTTGTATATTAAAAAAGAAAATATTGTTTTTTCATTTAAGCGCGCTGGATTTCATTTATAATTATTGCTATTAATATATACTCGATAATAGTCTTTTTTTTTGTTTTCTAATTTGAAGTTATTTTTCTCCACCATCGACTATTTGATGAATACGGTTGTTGCAGTCTATAATGGGGAGGGGGGTATGTGTATATAATGTTCTTTTTCGGTTGCTATGGTCTGTAAGGGGGGGGGGGAGGGAGGGAGCCGCAAAACCTTGAACTTAAAACTTACACTCACTATTTTCTTCGAAAATATACGTGAGTTCCACAAAAGCTTTCAGAATTTGATCAAAATAAAAAAGCTTTTCTTCGATAGATGTCTCAGTTTCGAGTCATCGAGAGCTATCAAACATATACGGAATAATATATTTGAACATGGGTACTCTGAATTCACTTTTATCGAACAGTTGATCTAAATATGAGTTATTAATCTTCTATGGAAATCATCGTTTCAATATGTTAAAAGATAGGACTTCTAGATTTTTTTGTTTTTTCTTCAACTTGCGATACTCTCTTTTTAAACCTAACAAATAATATTTTTATCAAGAAAGAATTCCCTTTTTCAAGTCTCTGACTGATACTAGAATTTTTATAATTTGAAATTCTGTTTAAATGGTTTATTTATTAAATATGACATGTTATAATGAACTGATTTGTACGAATAAACATGAAATTAATATTTAATGTTTTTTTTTAGAAAGTTCAGAACGTGAAAATGCATTAATAATGTATCTTGGTCAAAAACACAAGCAGATTTGGGGTGTGGGTGTGGATGCCAGTGTGATTGTATGGGCAGCATTAGTCAGTCACCAACAGCCACACCCACACCCCTTTTTATCTATTAACTGTTGTCATATATTCTAATATTGCACCATCTCTCTATTGTTATTATATATTTTAGTATTTCTTCCTCTATCAATTTTTGTCATGTACTTTCCTACTGTTTTTCTCTCAACTGTAGTCATATGTTTTATTTTTCACTCTCTCAATTATTGTCATACACTGCCTTAACTATTTCCTCATCACTATGATCATATACTTTCAAAATATTAGTTTTTTTCTTGATTTTGCACTTTGAGAAATATTTTTTCTTACGACGTTGTATCAATCCGCATGCTCCAAATAACAACATTTATTACCATTCAATCGATCCTAAAAAGATGTATTACATTATCAATTTCTTGAAAAGAGGCATCTTCCTACAACAATAAGTGTTTCGATTTCAACAACCATTATTCAAATAAATGAACCATCAGCTAATGCAGCTAAATTTAAATATAAACTCAATCATCATAAACATTCACGACCACTAACAAAAACCATTACCAAACAAATCACTCATCAACCAATACAATAAACTTCAACTATAAATTGAATTATCATCAATACTTTTGCAATTGATTCTATATATCATTTATAGCGTATTATATACATCAATACTGATTAAGGCTTCGCAATTTTTTTGCAATTTTTTTACAACTGAACATTACTTATCAATTGCTTCATTCTCTCACCGATTAATTCTTCACGATATTTGCAGCTCATTGTATACGTCATAAAGAGGCTGATTATATAAATAATTGATTAAAGATGCCGGTTCGGATGTGGAGTATGGGTTGAGGGCGTGGATGTGGGGTAATGATGTGGGTGTAGTTTATTTCATTATCTTCACCCACACCCTCAGTATTAACACCTACACACTATTTTAAATCTTTGTCAATAAGATAGTTTACGATTAATATCTTAACGAAGTAATAGTCAATATAGAGAGTTTTTAATTACGCCCGATTCTGTTCGCTTTAAAAAAGAAATCCGAACCGATCTCATCTCTATTTAAAACAATATATATATCTTGTTATTATGTTCGTCCGTTTATTTACATTTTAATATGTAGCATGTAAGAAATATTTAATAATTATATATTATACAGACATGATCAGTAGAACTTTTTATTTCACTGATTATTTTAATATATATATATGTCAAAGAATATGTTTTCATCAGGCAGATAAAACAAACATCGTCATATACGATGAAACACAAATCTCCTATACATCGTCGTGAGCTCTTATGCCATCTGAGAATAATGAAGTTGGAAGTTGATACATTGAATTATTTATAAAAGAATGAAAAGTAAATGGAGAATTTTATTTGTCAAGATGATGAGTTGCTTTTATTGATGTGTAGATAGTGAATCCTTGAAAAAAAACATGTCAAATGCATCATTCTTGCATAATTATTATTTATATGTTATACTCTGTATTTCTAATCTGTCTTTCAGTACAAGACAGCAGAAATAGCAGGCAATATATGCTAAAATATAGCTAAGAACAACAATTCTTTTTCTTTTTCTTATATATGCAAAGAAAAGGGAAAGAAAAGTATTGGTAGAGAAAATAAAGAAGAGAAGTTGTTCGTTAGCTGTTTATCTATACACATCAGGCATTATTTCTTCTAGTCGGATACCGAACAGGCAAACGAGAGTAAAACTCATTGGCTGAAATAGTTAGAGGTCACAAAAAGCATTGACGATAAGAGACATATATGGATATTGGTCGGTCTTTTTTCTCTAATATATTCTGTGTTTGTATGTACGAGTAACTCATTTTATCTTTTTTTCATCGATAATGTCTGCTCTTATTCTCTCTGCCATCGCACTATAAATAACAGGGTTGTCTTATCATAAGTTATCATTCTCTAGGTATTTTATTCTTTCTTTCTTTCCTCATCATCAACGCAACATTCTGCGGTTAGTTATTTGTACGTATTCATTTGGTTACATAGCAAAATGATTTCAAAGTGCAATATATTACTTGTATTATTTGTTCTTGTCGCAATTTTATGTTGTTGGGCAACAACAAGTGTCGATGAACAATTGATTGATGAA